TTTAAAATATTTCACACATTCTTTAGAATTATATGCTGTGTACTTCAAAATGTAACTTTATACTTTAAAATGTGTGTTTTCTCTTCCATAACATCAACGTAAAACATTGATGACTCATCCTGCGCTATAGTTTTTTACCCAGTCAAATGTTTCAGAATGAGAATAACCCCGTCCCCTACTACTAGCCGAAATAATGCGAAATTATTCACATGTTCACAGATTCTGCAAGGTGTTCCCAAACTTTCGCATGCCACTGTATTCTCGGAGAGTTCTGAAGCAGCTAAATGTTTAAAAAAAACACAAAAAAAAAAACAATGAGAATGACCCGTCCCCTAATACCGCTGTAGAGTAAACTAAAGGCCACTTAATATTTAAATAAAGGTACAAGCAGCCCTTTAATATGTAAGTCATCAGTGAATGGACAAGAGAGAGTTACTTCATCTTTCATTGAGATATCTGAAACACGATATTTTTTACATTGTGATATTACTAGAAATGCTCTGTGGGCTCCTAGATGCTTTATACGTGACCAAAAACACAACAAAAAATCTGTGAATTTACCTTGTTGTTTCAGACTAGCTGTATAGCATGTATTTTTAGTAGTTATGGAGCAGTTATATGTGTATGTATCGCTGATGACATCCACTTTAAGTTGACTTGTCACTGTAAACAGGTCATCTTCTGTTCGGCTGACAGTGTTCGGTGGCTCCATCGCTGGAGGGTCTGAGGACCACAATACTTCTGGTTCTGGATAAACTCCACTGCTGGTGCAGATGACTGTATCATCTTTTAATGTGATATCTACTGATTTAGCTGGAGCTAAAAAAATAAATATATATAGCAAAACTGTTACAACTGTTTTCTAAAAAAAAGTAATAGATCATTTTAGATCATATTGGTGCTAAATAAGATTATCTTGAATTATGCATTTGAGTCGTCTCCCTACACTGTCCGACTACTTATATATTTGTATATATATATATATATGCATATATTTTTATTAAATTAGAATATATTGTTTCTGTAGATACAGCAAACAACTTTAAATTAATAGTTATATATTCCTCCATCATTTTTAATTCAATTATGTCATTCACAATGCTTCATGGGCATTGCTGGGAAGATTACTTACAAACTGTAGTCTGTCACTGATTCCAAATTACATGACAAAAACTGTAGTTAGTAACATAATCCATTACATTACATGTTTTAGGTAATGAAATCAGACTACTTTTTGATTACTTTTAGATTACTTGTGACCTAACTTGTTTATCACATTGACTGAAATAGGATAATATTGTACAATGTTGATATAAAAATACAAAGAGCATGAAATAGAAACATGAAGTGCATTAAACATTACATCAAGGTTTCTTAAACTGGGTTTCATGAAGGAACTGCAAGGGATTTGTGAATTTAGTGAAAAGCTAATAATGAATCATAATCATAAATTGAATCATAAATCATTAAAATAAATCATTTAAAAATAACAACTATCAAAATAACAATAGATGACATATTTGTTTACCTTCATGTCATGCGACCATTAACCAACAGAGACCCCTGAACATGCAAATGTGTTATTTAATAATTACCTGACTACCGTAAAATCTCAGCACCCACTTAAAGTATTAGGTGAAAGAGGTTCAGCTGAAAAAAAGTTTGGAAATCCCCGCATTACATGTAAATGAGAAATAATGTGAATTTGTGCATTTTAATGTGTTTGATAAAAAAAGCCTTCCAAAGACAAAAACATTTGTGAATAATATGATGTAATCAATAAAAAAGTGACTGTAGTCTGATTACAAGTATTTTAAAACGTATTATAATCTAACTACATGTACTTTTTTACATGTAATTTTTAGAATCTGATTACATAATCCAGATTACAATCAGTTACCACCCAGCACTGTTCTCAGGATTGTTGTTCTTTCACCCACTTAAGATGTCAAATAGTTTTGTTACTTTGTCTTTGTCAATTTTCATAAAAAGCTACTTGAATGTCCTAATTGAACTATGGCCTAATTCTGGCTAAGCCCTGTTTGTGAAACTAGGCCCTAGTGTTTTAATAAAGACTTTTAAAAAATCTGAAGACTTCAAAAAAATGAATGGGAAAAAATACTTCCGTAATCAATGCTTCTGAAAAACGGGCGGGCACTAATGCACTCTATACTCTGAATGGCCAATCAGAATCAAGTAATCAGCATTATACATGAAACAAAATCTATTAAAGGGGACATATGATGCGATTAAAATTTTTCCTTTCTCTTTGAAGTGTTACAAGCTCTTGGTGCATAAAGAAGATCTGTAAAGTTGCAAAGACTAAAGTCTCAAATCCAAAGAGATATTCGTTATAAAAATTAAGAGTCAGCCACGCCTACCTAAAACGGCTCGTTCTAACACGCCCCCACATACCTAC